GGTTCTTAATTTCTGTGTATTTTGTGTTCTGCTTGTGGATTATGTAGTGATGTTATTTGACAATTTAAAAAGAAAAGGCATCTATTTTATTGTTTTCCCGTGCATTTAAATGTGGGGTCTCCAGAGACCCCGAACATCCTGAGTGCGATTTAGTTTTTTACAGTAACATGCAACCAGATATCATCCTAATTGTTTTTTTGTTTGTTTTTTATTATTATTGTATTTTTTTGCAGAGCTAGTAAGTGTTGACAAAGTCATGAAGTTTCATGTCATTTGGATGAAGGGAACTTTTTTTTTTTTTTTTTTTAGCAAACATCTTTTGGGTTTAAAATGACCCTGAACAGCGCACAAGTGTTTAGTCACCTAATATAAAGTGGGACGGTCACAGTTTAATTTGGGGAACAATTCTTATTATTAACTGCTAATTTGCTGCTTATTAATAGTTAGTAAGGTAGTTGTTAAGATTAGGTATTGGGCAGGATTAAGAGATTTACCATATGCTCATGCAGAATAAAACATTAATATGTGCTTTATAAGTACTAATAAACAGCCAATATGCTACTAATAGGCATGCTAATAAGCAGCTAGTTAACAGTGAGTATTAGTCCCTATACTAAAGTGTTACCAGTGGGATGAATATTTAATTAAATCATAATTTACCATGTGACTGAATGTGAGTCTTTTGTTTTGTTTTTCTCTCTAGATCTAGTCTTCCGTCTTCAGATGACTCTAGTTTTCTGTCCAAATGTTCTGATGTTTCTAGCTTTTGTCCTCTGGGGTGTTTCTGAAGGTCAGTGTTTCACTACTGATTGCTTATCAGTGCATTATAATATGTCAGTAAAATATTAGTGTTTTGTTAGTGCAGATATATTGTTATATATATTTTTGTTTTGTTTCAGGATCTCTGAGCGAGACAATCTCTTGCTGTGCTCTTTATTTTCTGAGACCTCTCCTGTTGCTCTGGGCGGCTCCTTATATTAATAATTTTACAGGTATGATTCATGTGATCTGTTTATTAGTGGAGATCAGAAAGTGAACTATATACCCAGATGTTCAGACATCATTTAATGTTTGTGTGTGTGATTTACCAAAAGAGAATTGATTACAACTTTCATTAAATTGTGTATTAGTGGCATTTTGTTTCAGTTTGTTGATGTTGTGAATGATATTGTGATTGTAATCATTAAATATTTTCTGTTTTACAGGCAAAATCAAATCACTGATTTTGAAATACAGTTACGTGGCAGAATATTTAGTTCTCTCACTTGTTGTTTATTCAGGTAAACAATTATCATTATCATGAACACATTAAAGTGCACATTAACAGAAATAAACAAAAACTGTGCTTGTCAGAATCTGATTGTAATATTCTGAATATTCTGCATGACAAAATCATACCATATGCAGAAACATTAAGCAGCTCATACATGAAGCATGATTTGTGTTAGTACGTGTGTTCAGTGAATCTCTGTATGTTTATAGGACTGAAACACTTTTATGATCTTATTAAATACACTCTGATCTACAGCTCGTTATGAATGAAACATGCATTGTTACACTAAAATATCAGTTTACGTTAACAAACTCAACTGAGTTTAAAACTAAAACTACCACTAAATTCTTTCTTAGCATGTTTTGTGGTCATGACACATGTCATATGAGCTGCACAAAGGTCACGGGGTCAGTATCAGGAACACACTGAAAACAAAACGCTGAACCTCAGATTATCACAGACTGTCAGTGAAATACAACACTGCAAGATGATTTACATTAAAAACCTCAGTTGAATTAATGACAGGAGTGTTTGTCGTGCTTCTTACCTGTGTTTATATTTCAGCTGTGTGTATATTTGCTAATACTCTAGTTTCTTTTTTATCTCTTCCTTTCTTCCAGCTCTTTTTACAAGTGCTTGGCAAAAACTTCTGAATTATGCTGCGTTTGACAGAGCCGTGATACTAGTGCTGTTTGCAATAGTGTTTGTGTGCTGCCTCTGCAAAATCATTTACCGTAAGTATTTCTGCGTGATTCATTCCTGTCAGTCATCAGAATTTGATGAAATTTGACAAAAAAACGTGTTTTCATTAATGTATTTGTGCATCTATAGCTGAACATTTGTGTTTAATTCAATAGAGAAGACATCTGTAATGTTGATGTCAGTATTTACTTATAATAAGTACATTAATAGAAACAATGCAGCGCTTCTTTTTGCTGGCGTGTGTGTGAAGAGTGTGTTTAGATAGCTCTGTTAATAGTTTTGCCTTCCTGTCAGTCATCAGGTACCAGAGACACACTGAGTGAATGAGATTAAACTGAACCTCCTTCATCACTTTACAGTCTATTTGACACATTTCTCCAGACACTTGTAATCATCCTAAACAGACTGTACGTTTTCAATCATTTCTCAAAACACTGCACAAAATGCTCTGATGTTCTCATAACAGTTAATACAGGCAATTAAATCTTTAAAATATCAGGAAGTGCTGTTTTCCTAATTGTTCACACGTTTAACACGACTGCTTTAACTATAAAAAGGGAAAGTATACAAAGAGCATGAAAAGAATAAGAGTATGCAAGCATATGTGAAAAGAAAGGTGTAAGTGTGAAAGGTGGTGGAGTGGGCAGATCTGAAGAGTTACTAACTCAATCCACTTCTATATTCATAATTATTGTACTGTTGATAGTGCACGTTTGTAGTCCTCCTGGGACAACTTCAGTGCTTTAGATGTCCAAGCATTTTTCAGAATTGAAGTTTGAGAACATTCAAGCTCATTTTGAATGGAAGAAGAGCAGTGGATCACTGTATACTGTATATATACAGAGCTGTCAACGTGTATTTGGCTGAACTAAAGCAGTTTGGCAAAGTTTAAAAGTATGACAAAATTCCAGCAAACAGTATATAAAACTCCCTCCTGAAGAATTTGACAAAAAAAGGTGTTTTCGTTAATGTATTTGTGCATCTATAGCTGAACATTTGTGTTTAATTCAATAGAGAAGACATCTGTAATGTTGATGTCAGTATTTACTTATAATAAGTACATTAATAGAAACAATGCAGCGCTTCTTTTTGCTGGCGTGTGTGTGAAGAGTGTGTTTAGATAGCTCTGTTAATAGTTTTGAGACCAATTACATTACTTTGAAGAAAAGTGTCAAAGCAACTGAGAAAAACTGTAATGTAATAATCTATATGCAATACACACTAGATTTCGATAATGCAATACGAACAGATTTTAATGTTCAGATCTGATAGTTTAGAGTATTAATAGAAATAGTACATAGTGGTCTTTTACTTAAATATCATAATGCAGTTTTTAAATTAGAAACACAGTCGTGTTAATTAATTCCGTTCAGTTCATCTGCTTCTGTTGTTGATTTTATTGTTTGTTGTTGTTTTAAATTCTGCCATTATAATGGCTCACAACTTCTATCACATAATCAAATCAGATCTTAATGATCAAAACTGTTTCTTCTAGTTTTAGTTACAGAGGTTGGGAAGAAAAGTGGCCGGATAGTAAAAATATTTGATGTTGTGGCTGATATGACCTTTCAAATTCTGCCTACTTTACAATTCATCCTCCTCTTCTACACGTTTGGAGCTGCTAGTGAAGCAGGTGAGTTCATATTCATAATGCTTTTGGTTCATTTGTGTTCATTTTATTGACATTTGAACATTTTAAATCTTCTCTAGTGTCACATTATAACTCTCATTATTGACTGAGACTGATGTTCGTTATGATTTACTGTAATCTGCTGTGAACCTGCTGATGAATTATAATATCCAGCATTAATATAAGTCCTCTCCTGTGTTTAGGGTTGATCATGATTGTCGTTTTACCAGTGTTACTGATGATGATGACAAATGACAGATGGATTTATAAATGCTATTCCAGTCAGGGGCTCAACTGTAAGTATCTGCTGAATCGTGATCTGATCTCTGTTGAACTGCATCAGTGTCTCTGTGATATTAATCATCAGTGTCTCTAGACAGAAAATAAGATGAAACTGAAGATTAAAAATCATTAATATCCCAGAGACAGAAAATAAGATGAAGATGAAGATTAAAAATCATTAATATCCCAGAGACAGAAAATAAGATGAAGATGAAGATTAAAAATCATTAATATCCCAGAGACAGAAAATAAGATGAAAATGAAGATTAAAAATCATTAATATCCCAGAGACAGAAAATAAGATGAAAATGAAGATTAAAAATCATTAATATCCCAGAGACAGAAAATAAGATGAAAATGAAGATTAAAAATCATTAATATCCCAGAGACAGAAAATAAGATGAAAATGAAGATTAAAAATCATTAATATCCCAGAGACAGAACATAAGATGAAACTGAAGATTAAACATCATTAATATCCCAGAGACAGAAAATAAGATGAAGATGAAGATTAAAAATCATTAATATCCCAGAGACAGAAAATAAGATGAAAATGAAGAATAAACTTCTTTAATGAATACTGATGATTAAAGTCTGTCAGTGTATTCATGACTGATTTCTGACTCTCTCTGTGTGTGTGTCTCTCTGATGATTTGAGTGAATCTCCAGCAGAAGTGAATGATTTGATTCTTCAGTGATTTGAATCATGGTGTCTCTGTCTCTCTTTATTCAATCTGCTCTGTTTCTGTCAGAATGAAAGTGTTATTCATCAAATCATTCTCACACTCTCGTGTTTTTCAGTATCATATTCAGTCATGAGGACAGTGATGTTAATCTTCACATTAGTGACGAATGCAGTGATGATCGGCCTTTACATATTGACTCTGGACAATCAGACAGGTGCAGTAATATCTGTGTTTTTAACAGAGTGGTGTCTCAGAGGCTTGATCACATGATGTGTTTATGGAGATCTGAATCTGATCTGTGTTGTGTCTCGTTCAGTCTCTGATCTACAGCTGCTCTGTGTGATGAAGATGAAGAATGTGATCTTTATTTGATTGTGTTACAGATCCGATCGGATGGGGCTGTGTGATGGTGTTTCTGCAGATACTCTGGACAGTTATGTTCTTCACAGATGATACTTACTCTTTTCTCAGCTTGTCTCGAGGTACAGTATCGATCGTCTACTTTGATCATCATCTTTGTGTGCTGTTTTTCTGCATCACTTTGTGTTCATGCGCTTCACAATATTAAACAGCGCAGGGCCAGTAATATTAAGCAGGTCTGTGTGTGTTCAGAAAAGACTAAATAAATGAATAAAGTTGTGAATCTCATTCCTGATGGAAACGGCTGTCACACACAGTGGGATCGGTTACATTGATTCATCTCATTAATATGAATCAATATGAATCAGTGATAAACACAAAACTTTCAAACAAAAATTGAGGTTCCTGTGTAATTGTGTTCAGGCGCTGTACCAAAAATAGTTCACGGATGCTGCTGATTTTTACTACATTGATCTCAGCTTGTCTCGAGGTACAGTATCGATCGTCTACTTTGATCATCATCTTTGTGTGCTGTTTTTCTGCATCACTTTGTGTTCATGCGCTTCACAATATTAAACAGCGCAGGGCCAGTAATATTAAGCAGGTCTGTGTGTGTTCAGAAAAGACTAAATAAATGAATAAAGTTGTGAATCTCATTCCTGATGGAAACGGCTGTCACACACAGTGGGATCGGTTACATTGATTCATCTCATTAATATGAATCAATATGAATCAGTGATAAACACAAAACTTTCAAACAAAAATTGAGGTTCCTGTGTAATTGTGCTCAGGCGCTGTACCAAAAATAGCCACTGAGTGACTCCCAGAGTCCATTACACATTGTTCTGATGCATTCTCCTGTCACAAATGAATACTTTTCTGCCACAATATCACTTCTATCACAAATACAGAACCCTGAGTCTCAGACCTTTCAATGATATGTGTTTGGTCAAGATTTAGAAAAAGTAATAATAATAATAATGCAGTAAATATTGTAAATGCCTGCTAGTTTGTTTTAAAGTGCTGTTTCTATGGTAACACAATGTCCAATTACAAAACAGTTTTACAGGATGAATTGAGAGTGTTTAAGATTTCAAATGATCAGTAATTTATGATGAGTGCTAAAATATGCCAAGCATGCGGTTGCCAGGACACTGAGAGTTAATCAGTCTCAGATGATCTGTGGAAGAATTAATAACTGAAATCATTCATATCAGATTAATCTGTTAGTAAGAAATCAAATAATTCAAGCAAGCAAAGACTATGTGTTTTATGTTGCTTTTAATGTGGCCTCATTTTCTCTAATAATATTTAAGTAAATGTTGACGAATAAAAATAAAGCATTGTTTCATTGATTATGTATGATATGAATATCCCTATCATGATGCATCTGTCTGAACCTCATGTTAAATGTTTAATCTTCATTCACAGATTTCCAGCGTTATGTTGCGGTGTATGTGTTTGGATCAGTCGGTGTAGTTTTACTGAACTCTGCTGCATTAATAACAGAACTGATCCTCAAAACAGGTGAGTGAACAACACTCTTTAATATACAGGATTTCATTTGAGGAGACTAACTTTGAAGAAAATGCTTCCATAATAAAGTTCATGGTAAATATACTTTAAACATGTATTGTTATTATGAGCTGAATTTACCTGCATTTATCTGGAGCAGTTATTCTACAGTAAAATATGAATTTTCATCAGCTGTTAAGACTGAATAAATTTCTCAATACAGTGATGATTATATTAAAAATAATAACTGTGTTTTTCAGTGAACGGTGATCGTGTGATGGCAGATCTGAGATTCATTGTCTTTCCTTCTGAATGTTTATTTGCTGCATCTCTGCTGATTTCTGGATTCTCAGGATCCAGTGAGTATAAACCTGAATTGTTTCTGATCACATTTACATCAAAATCAGCTGCATGTCTTCGTGTGTTTTCTTGTCATTTCTTCACACTTCTCAGTATATAATGATTGTTCCTTCAGTGCTGTGTGTCTCTGTTTGTGTTGATTTGCTGTGAAGCTGCTGTTTGACAGCGAGTGTTTAATAACTGAGAGATTCTTACCTTACCTTATTCATCTCACACTCTAATAATCGAATAATAACCTGCCCTTTACTCTGTCATAACACTTAAAAATGCCCCTTAAGACTGAGATTCACTCACTCAGTCACCATTACAATCATTCAGAGAGATTCAAGTGTGAGCATTGGATCAACCAGATCAATTTAAACATAACACTTTAAACCAAAGCTGCCACACAGCAGTTATTAAAACTATAAGTCATCGTGCAGGTCTGAGTGAAGGACTAGTTCTGAGAGCAATGTGATTCAAACAGTCTTTCTCTCTGTTCTGACCTCACAGAGATCGCAAGCTGTCTGAAGTCTTGTCAGGTTAGTGGCATTCATAAAACTGCATTGATTTGAGAGTAAAGCTGACCTGCAACATCAGGAGACTTTACTTCATGCTAGATAGTTATCCAAAAGTATGAGGATGTTACTTGTTTAAATGACGTGTCTTGTCCTAACGCAGAGCAAAGTGAGATCTATACGAGTCAAAAGATCACAGCAGAACCAGAGCACAGAGATGAGTCCTCTGAATACTGGAGATCAGGAGCAGAATCAGCCTGACTCAGTGCTGTCTCAAATATGAGAGAGATTATTACAGAGTGATCTTGAGGCACAATCTCCTGCAAAGCTGCTTTGAGACGACACATGGATTGTGAAAAGCACCAAACAATCAAACAATAACTCACTGATGTTTGATCAGAATCTCATGTGTTTCTACACTGATCCGCTGAGTTCAGTGTACTGATGTTACTCACTGTTAATATCAGTGGTTTTGCACTGAGAGCTCTGTATTTTGATTGTGTTTTTTGTTTCTTTTGTTTTTTTTTGTAAATAGCTGTAAATATATGCAGGGTATGTTTTAGTGTGTTGAAACACTTTTACTTTGTATATATGTGATGCTGATTTGTGATTTAAAGGGGTCATATGACGTTGCTAAAAAGAACATTATTTTGTGTATTTGGTGTAATGAAATTAATGAAATCGGTTTAAGGTTAAAAAAACACATTATTTTCCACATACTGTACATTATTGTTTCTCCTCTATGCTCCACCTTTCTGAAACGCGTCGATTTTTACAAAGCTCATCGTTCTGAAAAGCGAGGTAGATGAGTCCTCTGAATACTGGAGATCAGGAGCAGAATCAGCCTGACTCAGTGCTGTCTCAAATATGAGAGAGATTATTACAGAGTGATCTTGAGGCACAATCTCCTGCAAAGCTGCTTTGAGACGACACATGGATTGTGAAAAGCACCAAACAATCAAACAATAACTCACTGATGTTTGATCAGAATCTCATGTGTTTCTACACTGATCCGCTGAGTTCAGTGTACTGATGTTACTCACTGTTAATATCAGTGGTTTTGCACTGAGAGCTCTGTATTTTGTTTGTTTGATTTTTTTGTAAACAGCTGTAAATATATGCAGGGTGTGTTTTAGTGTGTTGAAACACTTTTACTTTGTATATATGTGATGCTGATTTGTGCTTTAAAAACTCATTCTAGCTGTAAGTAAATTTCAATCACATAAATGAATCAGAAACACTGAGACTGAATAGTTAAACCTTCAGACAACAGATCCTTTATTATGACATTATCACATTATAAAAGCATTATGACACACATACTGTTATTTACTTTGAGTTTAATTTGGGAGCTTGAGAGAATAAAGACAATAGCATCATCATCATCGTCATCATCATCATTTCTACAATGTTTGAATAATTAAATATTACTCAAGGTCAGTGGCTGCTGATTGTCTCATATTATCAGTCATATTATTATCATATTATAAGATCACTTCAGTAAAGTTTAGTTGATGTGTGTGTTGTGCTGATCTAGAGTTCAGGGGCCTCATTTATAAAATGTGCGTACGCACAGATTTGATCTTAGAGTGTGTGTATGCTAAAATCCACGGCAACGTTCATATTTATAAAAATGGTCTTTGACGTGGAAAAGTACCTACCATCACGTCAGGGTCTGAGCAGGCGTACGCACTTTTCTTTGTGGCAAAGTCGGAGTACTGCAGCTATTTGAACATCAAAGCTGCGATAATAATAATAATAAGATCGGTGTACGTGCAAGCACCGGATTCATCATGAACAACAACGATGCAGTGTAAGAGATTAATTGTGCAGTGTAGTCAGATTTTTTATTAACGGTAGGTTTTACAAGATTAAACTGACCTTTTTAGTAGCCTAATGTTGAGAGTTCTTTACTCACTTTCTGTACACAGTTTATTCCATGTTGTTGTTTTATTATTTTATTTTACAAGAGAACTTGCAAAGTCTTGATTTACTACTAATGTGTAAAATATATTAAAAAAAGCATAAACTCATCTCTGACTGTTTTGTCTGTGTAGCCTATAAGAATAGGCCTATGTCGTGCAATAACAGTTGTGATATATTCTATTCAATAACATTGTTAACTGTTTTTATTTATAACATCTGCTGCTTTGCTTCTGTGAAAATGAATAGAGACATCAGCCTTAAACTTTGTTTTTGTCATTTACATCAGTTTTATTTGTATAAAATACACTATATTTGTGTGTCAGTACATTAACCAACTTATTTAAATATACATTTACACTCATCACAAAGAGGCAATAAACATGAATAGTAAGCTTGAACAGGCAGGAATAGAAATATTGAAAGCATAGAGAAAGAGTGATTGATTTGTTTGTTTTTATTTATTTATTTAAGTTAAGCTCATGGAATGAGATGTCCTGCTAGGGTAACAGCACAGAACAGTATTTATATATTGACTTTAATTTGACAGCATCTTATAAATCAATAATTTACCATTTGTTATTGAAGTACACAGGATTTTCCATGGTCCTTCACCCAGCTGTTAATGTTTTGAGCATTTCTGGCTTCAGTTCTCTTGAGTTCTGCAGCATACATATCAGCGGTCTCTTTGTATCTCCTCATGGCCTCATCCATCATCTGCCTGCATTTTTCGCTTCTAGTTCGTCTTGAATTTTTTTTATTTCAATCTCATATTTGGCTTTAATTGCCTCCATCTCTTGTCTGACCTCCTCTTCTCTCTCTATTGATCTGCATGAGTCGGAATGCTCTCTCGGGCTCCTGAAACATTTTGTCATTGTAGAAACTGGCGTTATTATTCCACATCATCTTATCAATCTTCTTTAACAGACTCACAACCTGATCAGGACAAATCACAAATCATGAATCACAAACACAAATGTGCAATCAGAAACGTTATAAAGCCAGTGAGAAATAACTACAACAACAACAATAATAATAATAATAATAATACTCCAAAGTAAATTGATATAATTTTGTGTAATACTAACATTTTGATTGCACTAGTTTTCTGGGATTTTCTGCCTTTGGTTGAAACCTCTGTATTATGGGTTCTAAAAATTAAAAATATTATTAAACAATAATAATAAAAAAGTTTACAAACTTACATTCCGTTTTCTTGGAAACAGCTAAACATGACTGTCTGTGGCTACATTTTATGATGTTGGATTAATGCCTATTATTGTTATGCATACCTGGCAATCATAGGCGGAGCATCACTTTTATGCGTGGGGGGACAGACGAGCCATGAGCACTTTTTTTTATATGTTCTACATTTCATGTATTTATGTAACACATATTCTAAATACATTTAGAATGAACAATAACTGCTGTACAAAGAGTAAAAAAAATATAGCCTATATGCAGAAAAGCCGCCTCTTTTTCAGAATTGTGTAGATGACCACTATCTTTCTTTCATAATTCTGATACATTTTCAGTCAAATCGTTCTCTGTGTGCTAGATTGGAGCCAGTTTCTTATTCTCCTCATAACTGAGAAATTTATTTCTGATGTAGCCGAACCAACGGGCAGCATGAGTGCAAGCTGCAGTAGTCTGAAAAAGTTTGGATATTTGTCCTTCCGTACTTCATCTTTAAGTTTCTCAAGAGTGATTGTCGCGTGATGAATGAGTTCGTAATAATTTCTTTATGTACGAACTGATTAAAACAATCTTAAACTTTTGGCTTTTTTTCGCATCAAACACAAGACAACTTTAAGCAAATAAGTGTATAAATAGTATCAAAATGAATTCTAATTCTATTTTTATACAATAAAAATAAAACATACGTCAAATGAAAAGCCTTGGACAAGCTATGCAAAAAAAAAACTATGCATTGTTTTCCGTCAAAGCATCAAAAAGCACCTATATAAGCAGTTAATATAGAACATGTCTCTAGTCTATTTTTTTTATATGTGCTGTGTGATGAAGTGCGTTATCACGTTTGTTAATATTTTAGAACTTGATCGTCTCACTTTATGGATTGTTAACTTGGCATTGTATTTTATTTCAATGGTTAAATTTTCTGATGCTGACCAATGTTTTATGCAGATTTTTTAGTTTATACAGGCATACTACGATTCAGAGACACTCAGCTTTACTTGGAAAAAGTTGTTGCAACAATTTCCACTGCCCAGTGTTATTAAAAGGACCAGATGGCACAGCTTCCAATTCACTTCATAAAGTATGAACTTTGTGAGTTATTTGTTAATATACAGTGGCAAGAAATGGTATTTAATAGTAGTCTTTTGGCAAATTGTAGTTTGCCTGCACAATTTAGTAAAACACACAACCTAACAGCGATATGTTATGCTGTTCATTGATGTTCATTTGCATAATATTCTGCATGTTTCTTTATTATGATTATAATAAGCACCAAATTTCTTTATTATTTATATTTTATTATGAATTTAAAAGTTGTTTTTGCATTGTCAGTGGTAATTTTTGCTTTAGAACAATGCCTAGCTATCTTATACCATTTTTTTTTATGTTTATAAATAATAAAAAAAAATAAAATCTGTTTGATTTTGTTGCAGTAAATTGACAAGCAGAATCATACCAATTTCCAATGGAAGCTGATTGAAAACAAGGTTAGTTTTGTAAGGCTTTCATATTCTACTTATACAGATGGTGTGATGTTATAGCTGTCATGTCTTTTCCAGAAATAACTTAATAATATTATTTTGTTTTAGAATGTCCCTGTCTATTGATAAAGGGTTAACAATGCTAAAGTCATAGAAACCCTTCTCTGGAGTAGGCTCTCATTGCACCAATTAAAAGAGGTGCTAACCCCCATTACAAGTGTGAAATGTTGCTTTAATTACTGTATATATTTATTTATTTATTGTGGGGGGGGGGGG